TTTTTTTTAAGAGAGCGGTGACACAGAACAACATTCGCATCTGAAGATTTATCTTTAACAAAATTCTTCCGGCGTACTCCTCTCACACCAGTTAAATCTCTCGGCTCCGTTAGGAGCAACTTAGCTGCACGTTAACGCCTAACCGGTGAAAAATTAACTACCTGCTCATGTTACGCCCTCATACTAAATTGAGGCACGTAACACCAAGTTCCTCGTACGGTCCGGGGATTAAGGCAGATGCCTACAGAGGCAGCCAACTCAGAGCGCCGCGTCAGCCGAGTCGCGCAGCCGGCGCGCTCTCAGCTTCTGAGAGGCACCGCGGGGCTGGGTTTTCAGAAAATTGTGTTACGCCTGCTGGGGGAGGAAGCAAACATAATTGAAACAGCTACAGTTTTTATTATCGGTGACTCGTTCACGTAACGATTTTCCTCGCCACGATAAAAAGCCTTAGTAACTGTAAAGGAAGCTCTGCTCTTTTTTACCCTCGTACCCAAATACCCTCATTGAGTCATACAGTCAACAATGAAAAATTAAACATCTCCGACTTATACACAGGGTGCACCTATACTACGGAAAACGCATTAAAATGGCAATACACAGCTCTCCACTCACTCCTCGAATGACTTCCACAGAGAGTTTGCCTAGCTTGTAGGACAGAAAGATACTCTACCTCTCTGCACCTGCGCGTCAGAGTCCTTTCCTGCGCTTTGAAACCGAGAGAAAAACGTTCACTAGAAATCTCAAACGAGCCTAACGAGGCATAACCGAGAAAGCAGCGCTCCGTCGCTTCCTGGCGGCAACCGAGCCAAACAAGTCGGTCGTACGCGCCCCTTTGCTTATCTTTAGTTCCTCGCCGCAAGAGTAGCCTACGAAATTCAGTGGGGCCGTCCGTCCCGTTAAGAGTAGGAACATCTCAACAGAATAAGTCTTCTAAAAAGTAAAAAAAAAAAGAGGTGGCTCCTTTTGGCAAATCCATTTTCCACTGGGACTCCACCACCAGATACGCACACAGAAGCGGCTGAACGGTTGAAGAAGCGTTTCCGGTCCCATCAGATTTTAGACCCCTAGCTAAACTTTGCAGCGTCCGGAATTAGGTATTTTCCGAAAAAAGGCAGCGTTGCATTAGGCCCGGACAGTACCGCAAACGCTGTCAAATGGCAAAGCCAAAAGTGCGTGAGAAAAATCAGAATCGCTACTAGAGGGGCACAAAGCAAAATCTCCTTGGCTGTGAACCAAGTTATAGCCAGGAGAAAGAGGTCAGACAGGCACAGTTCTTCCCTAAAGGAGAGAGATCCGATCACGTCCACGATCACAGGACTGCAGCGGAGATGAGCCAAAAAAATACTTTCTGAGGACTTCATTCAGAGAGCAAGAGAATGCAAGGAGAAGTATACAGATAAGGTTAGGGACCAGAGAATCCCTTTTTCTTCTTTTCTTTCTTTCTTTCTTTCTTTTTTTTTTCCAACCATTTTCGGGACCTGAGAAAACATAGCAACCGTACTAATCCACTGCGAGATGGAAACAGTCGACTGTAAACAGTGCAGGAAGGACGGAAAGCGTTCCGTAACGAGCTCTGCGTAATACGCAATCAAGAGTTTTATCAAGCGTAGCGGAGCAGCTTTCCAAAGGCTCACGGTTTTTTACCTTGCGTTTCGGCCGCTACACGCCAGGGCTAGAAAAAGCAGCTACTGTTACGCCAGTTTGGAAAAGGGTCAACGGGACCATCTCGGTCAAATTTAGCTTGGCCAGCCTGGCGTCGATCCCAGGCAAAGTAAGAGAATGCCTCATAGAGATTTGCATTAATACAAACCAGAAGGGTAGTACCTCGAGTACGTAGCAAGCATTTATCAAAGGAATTAAAAGGTTAGCCGCTCAAGGTGACAGCATCGACGTAACGCAGCTAAGAGCTCTGCAAGGCACGTAGCTCAACGTAGTTTGGATTAGGCAACTAGGAGACCACAAAAATCAATAGAGCACGCGTTAAAGGGACTAAAAACTGCTACCAGGTTTCAGAACGTTAACTGTAAACGGGACATCATCATCAGCTGGGTGCTTCTCTGTTCACTTCCTTTTTTTTTTTTTTTCCCTTGGCCCTACGCTATGAGGCTTCTCAGCAAAGAGCTAGAAGCAAAACAAAATAATCGCTATTTGCGCTTGCAGAAGAGAAAAAGACACAGGAGATAACAGGTCGGTGACCTATCTTACGGAGTGAGCCGAACACGCTCGGGAGACTCCTCGCTTCCGTTCCTGACACGGACGTACGCTGCGCTGGAACATCGCGCTCAACGGCGATACCCAGAATTCACGGTGCAGGCTGAAGAACGGCAAAGATTATAGAAGAGGCACGAGAGCGATCAAAAGACTGGGAAACACGCTTCACAGAGAGACTCAAATTCAATCTGCTTACTCTGTCAGTGAGCAAACCGACTCGATCGGAAAGCTAACCGCGCATAAAAAAAGACGTTGCTAACAGAAGACTTCAGTTTGGCAGAAAAGGGAGAAAAGGATAAAACGCTGAAGACCCAAGGCAGGGAGAACAGCTAGCAGAACAACGCGCTAGGACGACTTCTCCGTAACTGTCGCTATAAAGAAAGAAACACGCTAACATAGACGAGATTTTTACCTAAAAGACAGCCCAATTTAAACGAGAACGATTTCAAGGTACGTACGCGCAGCCCGCGCTAGGAGGAGGAAGATTCTATCATCGCAGCAGTTCTTCGGGCCTCATCCACGCATTGATGAAAACACCATACAGGGTAATTATCTTTAATGACATAATCAGCCACCAAACACACGGCATACGGTACGATCAAGACTGGAGAAATACTAATTAAACCGAGCCCTCCCAAAGTAATTTTTTTAAATTATTGCTTTCCTTACACGTTAAGAACCGCGCAGTGTCAATTACAGGGGAAGAAAGAGTTTCCAGCTAGACAAAAAAACGAGAATAAGTTTAGTTACCAGGTTTACAGCAGTAGCATACACACGCGCAACTTGAACCTTCAATACCGTTGCAAGCGGAGATGGAAAAGAACTGAACGACGCCCCTGTAAATAATTCTGTCGCTATTAATAAATCGATTACTTGTTAATAGCGTCACCTTCTTGTAAAACGGCGCCCTCGTTTTGGGAATTTCAAATTAACATTGACCTTTCCAAACGAGAACGCTGTCTTACGCGTTCGACAGCGCAACGGTTTGAGAGGCAGATTAAAGGCCAAAACACCCCAGGAAAGATCAACCGGTTTTACGCGACAGATTTCAGTACACGTATTCTCTTCAACGCTAGCCAAGAGGGATATAAAAACAAAACATTACCTGAGCTTTTTCAGTACTTGTCGGTCGCAGATGTCTGTACAGCACTTTCTTCACCACGTCAAGAAACAGACAAGCGACTACTATGACGATTATGGCAAACCAAGCAGAACCACTCGACAGCAGTTGAACAAATACAAAGTACATGTCCTGGGTGTGTAAAAACGGCCTGAAAAGTTAAAAGAGGTGGCAATCACTAGACAAAACTTTTAGCAGCAACAGGACAGGACCGAGCGGCTAAAACTTATGCTAACGCGTGCCGAATCGTTTGGGACGCGGGGTGGCGACCGTACGGCGTCCGAGCGGAAGTCCAGGAATCCGTCGGGACCGATCGGCAAAGAAACACCGGGGAAGCACCAGCACAGAAATTAGGAGGAAACCGGTCCCTTCTCAACTCTGTGGCAGGAAATCACGCGGTATCCTGCCCCTCCGAACCCCAAAACGCAAGCGAAAAGCGTATCGCTTCCCTGACTCTAACCTCACTGCTCTCTCGTTCCCACTGCAACCGTTTACCTGCTACACAGACCCTTCGGGAACCCTATCTGCTTTTTAAAAAGGAAATTCTCTTTACAGTCACAGGCTGCTGCCTACAAATAATTCCTGCCCCCGGGCACAGCACAGCTCAACAGCTACGCTTCTTTTCTTCAAAAAGAATCGCCAAAGCCAAAACGCCGCTCCAGGTTCAGAAATCCGTTTCCCGACACCCGGGACAAAATTCAAGGCAACGGGGGGGAACGCGCTACTTCAGCGCAGCGTTCTTTCATTACCTTCTTCCGTCGCGCGCGCGCTATAGAAAGGAGAGAAGAAGGCACTCACCAGATAATTCCCCCGTAAAACAAGGAGAATATGAAATAAAACACGATGGATCCCCAAGTAACAAAATGGTTTATCCACGTCCAGAAGTGAGTTTCTAGCGCCATCTAAAACAAAAACAAGCGTGTCAATGAACTTCCTTTCTCCCCACTTTATGCTTCGCGATGGTTAAACGTCTTTCTCTGGATTCCTCCAGAACCGACTACTTCCGCCCAACTTTTCATTCGATTTACAGTTAACGTTCCATTATGTATTGGCCTACAAATCCAAGCACAGGGAACAAATACTGTAACATCATACCTTCATCGTAACAGTTATAACCATGACGGTGAAGACCAAAGTGCCGAACGTCCAGTTTCCGAACATCTAAATAAAAGGCAAGGCAAAAGTCATGCAAAAAGATCGGTTAGGAACATTCACGATAAGTTAGGTTTTTCGCAAGTCAGCTATGCTACTGAAACAAGTCTACGGACAGAAGCTTGTGGCTTCACTAATCACAGTTAATAACGGAAGAAGGATATGACACAAACCACTCTATTAAAAAAAAGAAAAAAAAAAAGGTGATATAAATTATAAGAGCACAACTAACAGCCCACAAGCCCTATGCCTTCTCGGTTCAAAAGAGATCACCGAAAGGGCTACACGTAAGATGAAGAAGCCCCAAACAATAACATGGAATGACAGGAAAATGAAGATACCTAATCCACCCGTTAGGCGTAAACATCCCACGAAAAGCAAACATCGGGTGGAAAGCAGTCACTTCGACAAAAACACAAAACGCTCGTCAATTCGAGTTTAAACGTTTCCAGAACGTTCTCGACATGCAGCATCGTGCGCAGGCTCGCTTTTTTCCTAGCACAGTTTTACAATTCAAAAATAATGGTGCCATGGCATTTTTCAAAGAAAAGGCTAAGGAAAAAGACACTTTGTTTCAAGGCTAACAAGCAAACGTTAAACAAACAAACAAACAAACAAACAAAAAAAACCTAGGCTTCAATCCTAACGCGTTTTCCTGCCGTCACTTTGGTATTCTCTCGTCCGCGTCTGGCGGACCACCAAAACTCTGCGCGAGTTCTACAACCGCAAATCGCAGCTCTGGCAACCAAGCTGCCGTTCCGCAGGGGTCCCGCCGCTCCGCTTTCAGCGCGCGGGGACCGCCTTTCGGCGGCCGTTTCTGTCGCCGACACCTTTAACGCTGGACAAGCCCTCATTTAAATATTTATCGTTAACCACCCACGCGAGCAAGGAGAGAGGTGCCACATGCAGACAGGCAATCAAACCCATCCTGGATTTGAGCGGTCAGCACGAGGCGCGTGGAGGCCCGACAGCGGGATTAACGCAGCTGTAGTCCTCGTTGCAGAGCTCTGACCAAAAAAACATACCAAAAACCCAACGACCCAATCCCCGTTCTCACAACTTCTTTTCTCATCTTTACACGTGGCAAAAAGTTAAAGCGGCCACGACTTTGGATTTACTGACAATTTTTAAAGGTAGCAGATCTTTGCTGTATCCGGTCTTCCGAAGGCGACTATAGGTTTGAGAAGCAAACAGGAAACGTGCGACAAGCAGCACGTCAGCGCTCACCCTGAGGGAAAATTCGGCTACTGCCTTCAAGCAACCTGTGAAAGAAAGTGTCTTTGCTAACACTGCTCTACACGGTCACAGAGTCAGAACGCAGACCACAAACAGGCTCTTGCCACCATTTTATTTTTGAACTTGCTTGCACTGTGGATGCTGCATCTTTTAATCCTGTGAAGTAACAGATACAATATTTTGCATCTCCTCCTCTCCTAGACTCTTACCATTTGCCTGTTAGGTTTCAATATCTGACGACGCGCACAGCATGAAAGAGGGGGGAAAAAAAGAACTCAAAGATCAGGTTGTCGCGCAACGTTCCGACGTAAACCCAACACACCACGCGCTTCAACAAATTATGTACAATCCGCTCTATTGCGCTGCGCTCCCCACCGATAACGGGCACGAAAAACGAGGCTACCGGCGGCGCGCTGCCTGGCGCGGGCACTAGGCCGCATCACACGTTCACAGGCCGAGATCCCTTCTCGCAGACTGTTGCGGGAGAACGCCACCAGTGCACACGGGTACTGGTAGCCTTTACGTCACGTTACAGAAAACACGAGCAGCCAAAGGGCATCTGAAAGCTCTGACCTCGGAGGCTCACTCTCTAGGTATAGTTAAAGAGTCGTGAAGTTATGTTATACGAGAAACCATACAAAAACCTTCTCCGTAACATTTACATCAACACGGACTCTGCTCTCGATTTTGCACGACGACACACTCTAAACAAACTAAACATCTGTCACTGAACGCAAAGTAAAACGTCTCTTTCTGCCTGCCGCACGTTCCCTAAGCAACTCTGAAGTGAAGTGCTTCGACTTAGTCGACAACTGCTCAGAAACGCACTGATCCGCAGCGCAAAGTCACTTCACTAGAAAACTACCGAAAGCCCGTGACCGGAGTCACAGTTATTTCAACTAGGAAGTCACGTAGCCCGTAAAACTGGCAGCAGAGAAAATCCATACCTTGATTATACAAGACGTTTGCGGCTGAGCCGCAACCACCTCCACGTTTTTATCAAACGTCTCACGATGGAACTGGTACTTCAGCTAGCTGCCTCGCCTCCCGCTACCGCTCCCTTCTCTGCACGCTAACTACCCACGCGCACGCTCTCCGCCGTGAGCCGCTCGACGATCCGGGCCATCGTCCGTTCATCGGTATACAGAAACCTTTCTCTTCCTAGACCTCCTGAGCTCAGGCCCATCCTCTCACACCAGGAGATCAACACGAAGATGTTATTTTTGGGCGAAGCGCCGTAACTCGCAACCCTACTCAAGGCTACACGAGAACGAGCGCGCGCTTCACGTCAGCGGTAAAAACGGCATCGTAAGGCCAGGAAACGTATTCCGGATCGCCAGCTAAAACAGCGTTACGAGAGGAAACCAGAATCCAATCGTTCCACACTGGGCTAAGGAGCTCGCAGCCGGGGAAGGGAGGAAGCAGACTTCCAACGGCTTCGTCTCCGTTTGGCTTTCTGTCAGCGACTTTTCCCCTTAACCGTCACCTCTCCAAAACAGAAAAGACCAAGGAAAACAATGAATTAGTGAATGAGATTATCAAATACTTAAACCAAAAAAACCCCCAAAATTCAGTGAATTAAAAAGCATCACTCGAAAGCAGCCTACACGGGCTAATTGTCAGAAGCTCTTAGTAATTAAACAACGCATTTTCAGGAGAAGCTTTAATACTTTCGGTTCCCGTCTGAAGGCGCCACATGTGATGACGAGCGCTCGAGAGAAGCCAGCGTTTGACACCGCGGTCAAGTTTTAAGCGCGACTCAAAACGAGCTACGAACGAACGAAGACAAACGCTCCTCTCGAGAGTCACGAGGCCTGATCTTGGCAAAAGAGTAAACACCACAAATTAAAACAAGGTTCTAGACAAGCGTAACACCTTTATTATCTAGAAAGAACCGGTCTTCACGGATACGTGCTTTCTGTCGACGGCAAGTCCTTCTTATACCCAAAAGAAAAAAAGATATTGAACAGAGCAGGAAAGCAGAGAGATACAACGTTGTATCGCTCCCTGCGATTTACATTTCAGAAATAAAACTAGAAGAATCGTGCTACCGGGAACGCGAAAAGTTCTGCGTCACAAGTTTTGCCAGAGTCACGCCCAAACGTTAATCCATCGCATTCCTCCCCGTTCCGTTTCCTCACGTTAAGAAACGTTAACGCTGAGAGCGTAAACAAACAACGGCAAAGCCTCTCTGATCTTTAGGCACTGCACAAAATCTAAACATTCGTAACGTAATTTACGAATAACGTTGAGTTATCTAACCCAAGGGGATTTGGCAAAATTCGTGCGCTAGAAAAAATTCACCACCAAGCACAGTAGAGGTATACTTCTTACGATGTCTTACCTGGCCGTTTCCCAGCAGAGAAGCGTCTTCTCCCATTAGAAGATACGAGCCGTAAAAGAAAACAAACGCATGAAAGAAGCCCAAGACGGTCCAGTAAAGAAACGGTTTAAACCCCAGATGGGCATTCTTACTGATGTCCCTGCAGAAACAAAACAGATTCGGGATTGCAGGTGGTCCTTACACGACCCATCAGCTATCGACTTTGAACGAAGGCTACCGCTCGCGTAAACGCAACCTTCCGCTGCCCCGAGATGCGCTTAGCGAACGCTACCGTCCCCCCAAAATTACGGAAACCTCGGGCAGAAAGGACCTCAGAGCTTACTGTCGCTATCTGCCTCCGCTTCGTGCGATCGGGCCGAACGGGCCAAGGTCAGAACGGCACAAACTAAAATTTCTCTCCCCAGAGGTCGAATTACGAGACGAAGAAAAGGCGAGCTCTCCTCCCATTTTCACGCCTGTTCCCCCTAACAGACCTTTGGGGGTGGGGACAAAGTAAAGGACACCCAAGAGACACTTCTTTTTCCCAAAAGTACGCACGACCGTCTCCCGTAAACGGTACGCAGCGCAACGCGCCGCCACTGGGAGGACGTCTAATCCTACGGAACATCACGTCTCTTTTTAGTAAAGCATTTTGGCCGCGATTCACCTAACCGCAGCGTCCCCGTTTTCCATTTTTCACGTCCGAGCGACTTTCACCTCCTACCCGTAAGGGGCGAGGACGTCGGAGGTCACGCGAGGCGAGCGCGCTCCGTTCTCGTCCGGTCTTAACGTGACCGACTTTAAAAGACGCTTCTCTCAGATTCCCGATTTGAACTACCTTTTGGGACGACAACTGCCTAACTGCAGTTCTTTCTCCCTTGAGGTAGCTAACGCAAACCGCTTCAGTTACAGACACAAATACTGTAGGAACGCCTAATGGCAAGTTCAGACTTCCACAGATGCCGCTGCTCTTCTAAATGACGTGCCACCGCGGCAACGCAGACAGGATATACATACCGATAGAGCACAGGTTTACTCTGTAATACGTGCGGATGCACATGCTGCTCAAAAAGACTGTAGATGAGGACAGGCAAGGAAGTGAAACAAATATTGTACAGAGTCAGGTATACGCTGTCATAGAGCGTCTGAAAACGGAAACAAAGACCGAGCGTTGTAAAGACAGTTATTCATATTTATTAAAATCTTCACTTAGCGCCCTGATAGTAGCACCAAGCCACCTAATTACGTGGGTTTACTAAGTAGAAAAGGAGCTATACTTACACAACCTACCGAGTAACATTGAGTTTTTTCTGTTGTCAATTATTACACAAGCTATCCAATTTTGAAAACAAAGCGAGACATGCGTTAAACGTAACATGTACGGTTTTCCTATGCGGTCACCCCTTTACACGCAGAAGCTTGCCAGCAGCAAGAGGAAAGCATGCAGAAGAACTCGAATCCCGCAAGCCTCCTACTAAACCTCTCAAAACGAGTAAAACGGCAAAAGAAAAGGTGCATTACGATATGCGCAAGACTCGTAGAATCAACAGCACCAAATTTACGCGTACAGCAGCACAAAGGACTTTCTTCTGCTCCCCAGGAAAGCAGTTGTGTTTAAAAAAAAAAAAAAAAAAAAGAGAGAGAACTTATATGCCAACTGCACGTAACCAAATACTAATTTGGATTACATTTACTTTAAGCCTGGGAAACAAAAGTCCAGCGGTTAGTCGGGCAATTTTGAAAGACGTCGTTGGCCAAATCAGCCAGCAAATTGCACTGCCGATTCAAAGAAGCCCCCGCCAAGTAAAGATTCCCTTTTGGAACGGAAACACTTAAGGGTCATTTTAAAACCTAGATGGTTTTGGACCTCTGAAAGAGCTTCGAGGCACGTATTTACTGATTAACACACAGTTGTGAAAAGCAGGCTACTTAGCTGCCACATCGAACAAAAAGCTCCTGCACAGAGTTCACAGTAATAAGCAACCCTCCGTTATCCGTACAAATTCGCGAACGATACGCGACTCGCTCGTTAGCGATAACAGAACAGCTGCGGAAAATCAGTCCGCACGTTTGCTTTGGAAGAGGGGAAGAGCAGCAACTCGTTGCTTTCTCCCCGTTCTTCCAGCGACCCCATATACGCTTACCAAGACGTAAGGCATCCGATACTTACTTGTTGGGAAAACAAACAGAAGAACTGATATAAAAATTGCGGTGTAATAAAGCACACGTTCTGAAAGACAAGAAACGAGGGAAATAATTAGTCCTCTGGCATGTCCCGTACAACCCTGAAAGACACGACTAACTCTCGTCAGCTGGCAAAAATACACAGCGGGAGAGCGTAAGGCATCTTCTCACCGTTTTACTCGGCAAGGCGAAGCAACGGGCTTCGCCGAAGAGCCTACTTTGTTTCCCCTTCGGCGCAAAGAATCTAAAAAAATTGCAGCTTAATCACGTCTTGTGCTTGATGAACGCACCGCATGAGCATTAAAAACCGCCCACAGAAAGTCCTAAAGGAGGAAAAACCCCTCCGTTTCCCACTCAGTTTCTTTCGAAAGGTCAACCGTTTTCTTCAAAGAAGAGTTTCCATATTTTATCCTAGAAAGTCTGCGCCCCGCTTCGGCGAGGGAAAAGACAAGAGGACACCAAACCCCAAAGCCATGCAATTCTATTTAAAGGACAACAAACAACAGAAGACCAAAAGGGGCTCGGCTAGAACCCCAGATTCATATCAGGCGGGACAGTGAATTCCGACTTCCCGTCGCACCCGATAATCAAGCAAGAAAAAGAAGCCATCGACAAGCTCGTCCTGCTGATCGGTCCCTTTAGCCTCCCGCTGTCCTGCGGGCACCCTGAGAAAATTCCCTCTCTGGCGCTCGCTTCCCTCGCAGCGTTTCACCTCAGGATCTCTCAAGTCAAGGCTAAGATTAAGGCGTGCCTAGGGGCACAGAGCACGCTCTCTCCCCACGTGCTTTCTGCGGGCCCTTCCCTCCCTCAACTATTTGCTGTGCTCCTTCGCCCTTCGAAGGAAGATTAGGCGGTACAGTTGATTTTAAAAATCAACAGAAAAAAATTCTTTAACATCTGGCTAAAGAACGCGGCAAACCTCGAGCCGGCACGCTGCTTTCAGCCAGCCAACGACGACCGCTTATCAGGGGATAACCGCCAGGGGAACCACTAGGGGAACTCCGCTGTGGTCTTCAAGACCTATTTTCAGGTGGAAGCGCTAAGCGACTTCACGGTTAAGCTACCGCACTCAGCTGCGGAAATATCAACCCCAGGACGTGTGTTAGCACAAAGGTATTTAATCTGTTCCCAAGGAAAACGCCAAGTCAGAAATAACTTTCTCACCGGAAAAAAGTTACTTTTTTTTTTTTTTTTTTTAAAAATGAACTTCACACTTCACTCCAAACACTTACCTTATAAAAAAAGTACTGTACAAGGGTTGCTATTCTAATATAGTAAAAGTGGCCATGAACAAAAAGCAACTTGGAGAGGAATTTAAACCGTGCTATTGCATAGTCGCTGTTTCTTACAGCTTGTCTTCCTTCCTTTCCCATGATTCCTGTTATATTTGGGGAACAAGAAAAAACAGATTAAGCACTAGCACAATGAAAGTTTCACAAACACATACGTGACAGCCACATCTTGCTTTTCATGCACTTCAACGTTATAAAGTCTTCAGCAACTTTCGATCCCAAAATAGGGCATTGTTTCTGACACTTAGGACCGAAGAAACTTGCTGCTTTAATGCTGATCCAAAAAAAAAACAAAAAAAACCCCCACCCCCCCACAGTACTTCTGTCAGCTACGCTTAGGGAAACGATTTATAAGACAACATGGAAATAATACGCATACAGAGCCAAGAAAAATCCCAACCTTCTCAATAAAGACATGCAGCCCACTATCGATCCCTCACTTTACTCAGTACCTTCTACTTCAGAGATAAAGCAGCACCTTCTAACGGTCCGTAACTTCCGCTAGCAGGCTGTATCCACGGCCTTCCAAATCCACACAACCAGCCATTACATACATCTTTTTAATCACGTAACAGCGACGGACTGCACGACTTCAAGTACTAAAACTTTTATAAAAGATCCTTCACCATTAACCGTTATCGCAAACGGCATCCAGAAAAAGTACGCAAAGGAAATACCAAAGCTGCTTCTGCGATGGGCACCAATTCATTTTGTGCTTTGCACCCGAGTTACATAACTCGGCAGAAAAGAAGCAAAGCAGGTTTAGGCCAGGTAACGGAAAACATTATAAACAGAGACATCTACCGAGCTCAGCTCAGAATCGATAACGGTCTCTCAAAAGACGTAACGAACACCTTTTCCTTACAGACAAACCAGACATAAGCAGCGTTTCGGCAACGACACGCAGGCGGTGCAAACAGCGGGCCAAGAAAGGCTAAGGGGTCAGGTTTACATAGCAGTTCACGCTCTGACCGTGACCGAAGTCAGAGCTATCCACTCCCCGTTTTTCATGCCGAGCACTTCCGAGATTCTGGCTAAAGAAAACCTTTTCTGCTCTTACGCCAGCAATACGCAGAACCTCCGCGTAGCGGTCGACTACATAACGTGATCGTAACGCTGCCGAAAGCAAGCGGCTTTGCGTTTTGCGTGTCACTAGAATCACGCTACAGCGGATGACAGATTAATGCCCTGTCATTCAGAGGTACAAAACCTTTAGAGGCTGATCTGTTGGTAAATACGCGTTCGGATTAAGATTATTCACGCTGTAACTCTCCCCTAAAAATTGCATCTCGTTTGTTGTTACGTCCACAGACAAAAATTACCTATGCCAACGTGCGCTTCTTGTATCATGCTCACATCATTAGCGCCGTCACCGACCGCTAACGTTATGGGTTTCTCCGGAGAGGTTTTTAACAGTCGCACTACCTGGAAGAAAAGGCAGAAGTTTTAGAGTGAGACAGATACACTAGCTGCAGGCCACGCCGCTAGATCCCGAGCGCCCTAGCGACTTACCTGCCAGTAACCGTAAGTACGCTTCAAGAACGGGCTAAGAATCGGCTAAGAAACGCCTCTGGCGTTTCACGTACGCCAATTCACGGCGCCTTTAGAAAAACCGTTTCCTTCGGAACGCAAGTCTAATTTAAATATTAAACCTGCTGAGTTGGCACAAATGAAACTCCCGCATAGTCACCTCTTCCTTCACAACTCTTACTTTGTCGGTTTACCATACAGAACAGTCAAATAAGGGTTAGAACTGCAAATTTAATCCAAGATGTAATCCCCTTCATCAGACTGTCCGCACCCCATTTTCAGAATTATCCACACTAAAGTTCACAGAAGACGCTCTTATTCAGCGGTACAAGTAAACACAAGAACTCTCGGAAAAAAAGTTTATTACACGAACATCTCCCGGAACGGCTAAACAGCGCAAGAGAGGGACTCGGGCGGAGCGGGGCGGGGAAGCTAACTCATAAGCACCAGCATGTAGCGTTATTAAGGAGAACAGCTCCTCTTCTTTTTAAAGGAGCTTCGTTATCGCCAACGGGTACGCCCAACGAGGTACCGGAAAGTCACAGAAGAAGAGATGACAGAAAGACGAGACACTTCTGTCAGGCCCTGGAATCCCCGAAAGAGCGGCACTGCAACCCTACTGCTCCCAGAAAGGAAAGAGACCCTTAACGCAAGAGCCAGCAATAGTCTACACAGAGAGGAATTCATTCGATGAGGTATTTGCTTAGAGAGACGTAGCAACTCGTTAGCCTGCCAGGTAAGACAGACAGCTCTAACTAAAGGCATAAGCTTCACGAATCCAATCCAAAACTGGGCTACAGAGGGGAAGGCGCCGCATGCAGATCCAGAGGGCTTTCTGAAGAAGGTGAAAACCTTATTACCAAAGAGATAACGTGCGTTTCCGCGATACGCCAGAAAGCACACAGGGGAAACATAAAGAGAGCCACAACGGCGTGCGCCAAGTAGACCCAAACAACTGCATTCCGATAACCGAGGGCTAGCTGGCAGCGTTCAGAGAAGTCCGCCTGACCGCGGGAACGCGTTTCCTAATTGCGGGTACTGATATTCAAGTTTAAAGGCTCTCCGTTCCCAAGGAGTCATTATTTCAAGCACATTTAACACTAGTCAGTCTTAAAAAGGCAGCAAAACTGCAGTATGTCACCCAGATCCGTCCTCATTAGAAACCGAAGACTGCGGTAACGTAGACGGACAAACGAGGCCAAAAGGGCAAGACAAACCCTCTGGCCAATTTTACCAGCCGCCGTTAGCGGCAGCTCTGAGCGACCGACGCAAAAAACGCTTTCAAAGGCATCAGAGCCACGAAACGTACGAAAAATACATACAGAGCTAGCGAGACTGCTGGCCATATATTAACAGATCCAAAAAAAAACCCAAACCAAAACAAAACCAAACCAAAACCAGACAAACAGAGAAGATGGAAACATCAGGCCGAGCTCCAGCTCAACCACGCAATCATCATCATAAAACGCGTGCCTGTAGCAGAAGATCAAGCAGGAGGCTAGAAAAACCTGCCACACGCTTCCTTCCCCGCCCTACCCTGCCGTGGTGTATGGCATTTCTTTCAGCAGTTCATAGGCTTCAGCTTTACAAATTAAAAAGCCACGGCCTTAAAAATTTGGTTTCACTGCAAGTCATGACAAAATACAGGAAATAACGGAGATGGTCTGCTGGGCAGGATAAGAACTAAAGAGAGAATTACTAGCTGCTATCTGCCAAATTTGGCAGCAGCACCAACACACGTGACGGACAGGATTTTATGGCAAAATAAGAACACAGACACAACTTGGGCAAATACCTACACTTTAAAGAGACACGGGAGACGGCACAAATTTCAGCAGCGAACACACAGAGCGCGGACGCTCATCAGGAAAGCTGCTTTTCTCCGAGCAGTCGCAAACAACTTCCTTTTAACGTTTCACACAACTTGCTAAAAAATTAACCAGCGCACACCGGAACAGCTTTCTAAATAAGCGATTTCAAAAACGGCACTGAAACTTGAGCCAACTGTTGGAAGCAGGAAGGGAGAGAGACTCTCAAGCATCACTAATTTTCATTTACTCGAGACCCGCTTTGCAGCGGGTTAAGCAACAGTCTCTTCCAGGGCCTACTAGTCTATTGTTGCAAATAACTACGTTAACAAGCGAGCCAAAGAGTTCACCCAGAGGCTAAAGAAAAGCACGAAAAACAGCAATTCTGAAGACGTTTCCAGCTCCGGCCAGACAGGAGCCTACGCGTCCGTAGATCTGCAGGAGACAGACATCAGAACTCGGCTTTTGCAAGCGGACAGAAACCACTGCTCGACAGGATCCGAAGGGCACGGACGTCGTGGAACGCGCTGCAGCGAAGCAAGTAAGGCAACAGAGCTACGTATTTGTTCCGCTAACACGTAGGCTACAAGGACGCTTCCTTCCCTCTTCCCTGCTAAAGACACAAATCTGTGTAAATGCTTATGCCAGACTACTTGCCGTTTTCTCTCCATTTCGAGATATGCGTTGCAACAAAAAGACAGCACTCAAAACCAGAGAGCAGATATTTACGGAAAGCAACTCGAAAGCGGATACAGAGGTCATCACACGTCAGACAGCGACCCGAAAGAGCGCCATCGTGTCACGATAATTAACCTCGTCATCTCAAATGAAATTCGCTTCTCCTCTCTTCCGCTCCACAAAGCAAAAGTGCCAAAATCTGACTCGTTCTTGTAATGCTTTATTCTACCAAAGGCTACTTCGCGAAAAGGACGTTACAAGAGGAACAGGTGGCGGTGGCAATAGCTCGTCTCTCTGTCTACTTACACGTTTCTATAAAAGCACGTAGCCGGTTAGCATCCTTAGTTTAAGGAGCAAGTTCCTCCAGTTCAACCGAGTTTAACAGCGATTCAAAAGTCAAAAAAAAAAAAAAAAGGCCAGGCAAACGGACAAAGCGTTTGCAGAGGTCCTTGTCTCCTCGCCTCTTTTAGAGAGCGAGCAAAAACCACTTATAAGACAATCCTGACTATATCCTCACTTACCTTCGCTTTCTGAAGGGGTGCCATGCGACAGCACAACACTGCGGAACAGTTTTTACAAACTTCCATGAACAGTTTTTCGTGTTCCCTGAGCGCGAGAGAAAGGCTGGTCCCATCCACAACCAGTCCGTGCTGGATAACGTGGTCTTCCTTTATTCTATTCGGGGACGAGAGGGTTTTTGCATTGGTGGGAGGGAAATTTTTCAACTTTGCTACAAATTATGCAGTTGCTCATAATAAGCAGAGAGGTAGGCCTGTCAGACCGCTTCTTCAAGTCTATCAAAACCAAAGTAAATTCATGTGTTTGGCACGTCAATCAAAGCGAGGGCCACAGAATTTGAAATTTAAAGAAAACCAAATTAAGATCATCACTGGGATAGCGACAGCTGGTATTTTACCTCTTGGCTAGCTGCCTCAGTTGCTCTGCGCACGTACTGTCCGATTTGTGCTGCACGAGTTCAAGGATGTTCATGGTTCTATGAAAGTGTCCGCACGACAAACTGACGCTAACAGCGGTTTCGTGCTTATCTCCGGTGAGTACCCACACTTTGATCCCAGCCACTCTGAGTGCTTCTATAGTTTCCTGGACTTTCTCCTGCAGCCTAGAAACAAGAAAATCTTAAATAACCAACAGAACACTTCAAAAAAAACCCCCAAAAAACCAAAAAAAACCACCCCAAAATCCAAACAGAAACAAAAAGCCCCAAACTGCTCACACCGTAACACCACCGCTACCATTCAGACGATTTCAGACCGCCCTTCCAACGTTAAATATAGTTTCAGAGAATTACAGTTCGGTAGATGACGTATTCGGTTACCACCAATATAACGAAGGCTTCGATGAAACCAAACCTAAGTAAAGCGATCCAAAACTCGCAATACGAACGTCTCGATTTAAATTAGGCAACACGCTGCCTTTGAGAAGCTTTAAAACAGTCCGTAACGATTGCCATCTCTTGCGATGTACGGACCATCTATCTAGCGCTCTACGCGTACGCCCCAGCGTACAACACGCTCATCAACTTACAGAACATACATTACGCAGGCAGAATGATTTGTAAAGCCAGGCAGAATGATTTGTAAAGCAACGTACCAAAGTTCTCCCGAGGAATTAGCTATTGCCCTTAATATTCACTGAAATTATCCTGACTTTGTTTCACGCACATGTGTTTCACGCATGTGTTACGAAGCACATCTCTCCCCGTGCGGTACACGGCATGGCATTGCTATCACGCGAAAAATCAATCGGAACAACGCGTGTTTGAAAGCTCCTCGATCCAAAGACAGCGGTAAACATACTAAACAAACAGCACAGAACTTTTAGGCATTGCCGGACAGTTTTTCACGGCACGTATCATAAGGCAGCAACAGATCCTAAACTCGCTACGTTTCTGAGTGCAGTTGGCAGAAATTCCATCGCATACTTGTCTTCTACTCCCGTAGCCCCAAGCAATTCCAGATCCCTTTCTATGAAGCTGAACACATCCGCTAATTTTTCTTCCCGTTGCTGTAAGGCAGTCCTGGCCTCGTGAAGGCGTTTGCCGATTTCTTGATACTCCTCGGGTGTGAATCTTCTATAGGCTACGCACAAAGTTCTTAGTCCTTTCTGTGAGGAAATAAAAGACTACGCTCAGAGTAGACTAGACTCGGACCTAACAAGAAGGCGTCACCTGCAACTCGTCACTTCAAGCCTCAGAACTCGCACCAGAAGAACTTTCTTGCTATCAACTGGGCAGATACCTACACTTACCAAGGCAAATTCATCCACGTGTATCCTCGTTTTGTCTATTTCCCCACTCTTACTACGAGGAAGAATAGAAGATTCTGCTCCCTTCGTGAATAAAAGCTTCTCCCCTAACAAGTAAAACAGAATAAAAGTTAAGCACGCACGCGATTTAAGAAGTTATCAACTGCAGCTCGGGCATCTTCCGAACTCTTACCTGAGGGACTCTCTACAATGACGCTCATTCGTCTGCGATTCGGATCAAACTCCAAAACATGAAGCAATTTATACCTTTATTTTCGGTTTTCATAAAAGAGGGAAGGGGAGGGAAAAAACCCGATTTAGAAATCAATTTCCAGAGAGAATTACTCATAAATACACACTGACCCCGCGGAGCTTTCCCTGACGCGTCATTTTTGCATAAAACCTCCGAAAGTAACGCTAACGGCTGAGGAACAGCCACCGTTACCTCCGTTTCTGCAGTTAATGGCTTCTCAACGCTCTGTGTACACCGAGTTCTGTCCCATAAGAATTACGTTCTCCGACCAATAGGAATTTCGATTCCTGAGCACTAGCTTTACATCCGGAGATCATCATCAGCTCCTAACTATCCGTTTATACTTGAAGTCACGCTAAAAGGATAACTTGGAAACAACGTTTTACTTTCCACGCTCAACCAATCTACGCAGTCGGGATCCCCAACGACCGGACTATTTTTGGCAACGCTCGGAAAAAACTAGTTTTAAGAAGTTAAGTCTGATGAACTGTCAGAACTGACTGAAACAGATCAAAGGGACAAAAGATGCTACGACACACCGCAGAGACAACGTTTCTGCTCGGTTGGGGCAAGTTTAAGCGATGCGATTACGCACGCGCGACAGTTGTCGGCGTAGCCGATTCCGGGAACGCCTAGAGCCGAAAGCACAAACTAAAGCTCGAATAAACACTTCAGTTTGCCAACGCTAGCAGAGTCCCAATTTCTGAACAACGGGCAGAGCCGTAAACTGCTATAATATACGCCTATACAAAGCAACTCGCACATAAAATTCTTGCATTTCAGTACCATTTGGTAAGGAGTAAGATATAAACTGTCTTGAGGACAGCAAAGGAAAATCATTACAGACAGGGGACTTCAGGGAAAGGGGAGGGTTTTTTTTTCCCCCTTTGTCTTGTTCGGTTTTTTTGAACAGAGAGAATTAAATAGAGAACGTGATTGTAATCTCCAACATTGTTTGGCCCTTCAAAAGGAGCAAGAAATAAAAGGGAATACCTTTCTCGTTTTCCAAGACTTTTTACTTCCATAGCATCCCCACTAGTTCCAGTGAAGACTACTCCAACGCTAAAAGAAAACACAAAAGAGACGTCGGATCGGTACTTCAGACGAAGCGCCTGTTCACCTGAACGTTACCGAACGCAGCAGAAAATAGGACCCTTACCCCCCGTTACCGCTCTCCGTTTCCAGGGAAAACGAAGAACGCCCACCTTCTACGGCATGTTAAATAGCAACGTATTTGGCCCAGTTTACTCGGACAAGGACTTCCATAAATATTTTTAAACGCCGCGTCATAATACATCTAAGTCTTTCCGCTCGTTAACTCTTTGCGTCTCTTACGTAAGCAGTCAGCGCTAGGCCCTGAGCTTTACGAACTTTTGGTGCGCTTCTTCAGATTGCTTTCAGAACACATTGTCTGCCCTGCCAGGCAATTCCTGCCTTCGGTAATCTTGGCATCACAACTCACCGGCTCGCAGCTTCAACTAACGCTTTCTCATCCGGTGAGGAAGCATAATATTCCAACGGGGATGCTATTCCATTGGCACGCCAGGGAGCGTCAGCACCGTCTGTCTGATCCGCGTTGATCTGCACCGTATGGCAAAGACAAACGGCTTTCAAGAACAGCTCTTCCTCTTTCACCTATAAGAAGCAAAAATGTTATTTGCAACATTTAGATACCCACCCAGTTTGGAACACACTTTAAAAAACAAGATGTTCTGACTTAAAAAATCTGCCAAGCACTCCAAGTTAAAAAAACACCACACCTCTCAATCTATTTAATACAAATCATGCATCAGTAACAGTTAATAGCTTCAACCTACTCAGAACATTTTATTCTTTACCGCACACACTCAAAGACTGTTTCTTCACAATGAAGTATTTGCTATCTAGCGCGTCTAAGCGGGGGGGGGAGAGGGGGGGGACCTTACCAAATCATGCCTAGTTCCATCTGGAGAATCTTCAGACAGCCCCTCTGGAGTTAGCTTCCCATTGATCTCTTGGTACTTTATGCCATTGATGGAGCACTCACGAAACTGCATCTCATTTTCAGTTAGCGTACCAGTTTTGTCTGTAAACACATACTCTACCTATCGTAAAATAAAACAGAAAACAGGTTTGCAATAACATATACTTTCCACAAGGGGAAAAAAAAAAAAATCTCCACTCACTCTCTCTGTTATATACCTTTTTTTTTTGGGTCACGTAAGAGAACTTAAAATTTTAATCTCTGCCATGAAATAAGATGCTTATACCTTACTTTCCAATTAATCAAATCGTCAAAGCACAATCAATAAGAAGTCTGCAGTAATGACATTAAAAAAGTAAAATAGGAGTTTAAAAAAAAACCAACGTATTTTATTGCCCACCTGTCCCAGCTCCTCATTGAGGTCTGAGGTATTTACTTGCGCTCTCTGGTTTGTTTCTTCGTGATAGAGGTCAAGATCCCAGCCGATAAAAAAAGATCCGAGAAATTTCTGCATCTCAACAGTCACGTAAAGTGAAATAGGTATGATAAAATTGTAGAGTACCAGAAAAGCAAGAAAATCCGAAATAAATCTCAGAATCTACGAGAGGGAAAAAAAAAAGAAAACGTAAAGATTACTGCAGGGATCAGGGGAAACGTGGTTACTTAGGTATAGTTCAGTACGTATGAAAAATGACAAACTAACAGAGCTGAAGGAGGCCCAAGTCCCCCGCGTACATAAGAGAAACGGCACGCGCAGCGACGACGCAGGCGTTTCCAGGCTGCCTCAGTAACGCGTCTTCAGACCGACGCAAAAAGACCGCCTCAAGCCATTACCGGCTGCTTTCTCTTTCAGGTTTATTAATTTTTGCCTTCTCTACCGAGTCTGTCAGGGAGGCCGCCAATTACTATCAGCTGCAGCGGCGATTCTGTAACCCAGAAACTCTCTCAAAGGAACTGAGACCGAACACACGCGTTGCATGCTCCATCTAATGACGTCACTCATAGCCTTTTCTAAGGAACCACACGCTGCGAAGGCGATACCCAACAGCTGATGCTCCACGTCGTCACAGACAAACCCGCAATATGCTCCGTGGGTATTAAAAACGGTTTAGGACAGCACACTGACAAAAGCGTTCCTGTCTACTGACGTCGCCCGGTGAGGCGGGCGACCCGCGCTACCCGACAGAAAGCGACTGTGTAGATTTCAACGGCGCAGACTTCCTTTACGCCTCTTCCAACCGCCACCGGGGCCGTTCGAAAGTTTTTACAGAAACTTCTCTCTACTAGGTCTGACAATTCTAAACCCTGAAAGGCAGTCTTTCGGCCTCTTCGAAGGTCCCTCTTCTAAATTTGCCCAGCAAACTCAGTATTTACGCTGTAAATACCGAACAAAGGAGATCCGAGACAAGGAAGACGGGGACATACCTTTCACCTCCACCAATATCTGGCATTGGTAAAGCATTTTGGGGAAGCGCAACATAAAGTAGTCAACGGCTCGCTGAGCTACCTAACGACTGCTCTTCCCGATCGGGGAGCGTTGCTATAATTACTTAACAAACATCAGCACCATCGATTTCGGTGCCTTACAAACACCCAGTAGGTTCTGTGCCTTAAGAGATCTTCAAAATTGAAACAGGCGAGACAGATCAAGACCGAGGGCAGTAATTCAAGAAAGAGAAGATACGCCAGCAGCGACGACGACTAAAGTCAGCGAGCTTTCTCAAAACCGGTACATCACAGGAGTAATCTGGAAGATACAGGATGGATGAACGGAGAAAGCATATTAAGTACTGGCAGCCTACCGAAAATTGCAAAGCAGACTGTGGAAGAATACAGTAAACAAGGCAAAGGAAAACAAAGACCAGAGGGGACAGAACAGAAGGAAAGCGACAGCGCAGAAACCGAAGAGGTTCCGTACGCTCCCGAAGACAAAGGTGAGGGGACGGAACACTTCTGTAAATACCCACCCTGTCTCTTCTCTGAACTGAAAAGGCTCAACACGTTATTCTAACTTTGATAGCAACGACTTCAAATTATTACAGAACCCGAGCCTTTACCGGACCGACCGCTTCAGACAGTAGAAAGTGTTTCCAATATGCGCAGCTACTACAAAACAAAGTCACTAAACAATTTGAAAACTACGCAACTCATTCGGTACTGGTCAACAGCGACACTTTCAGACAGAATATCTTGAAGTACACTGAAAAGGTTTTGATAACTGCATCGATAACAATCATTCAAAACAAAAGACGAAAAGTGAAAGTGGCGTGCTATAAAAAACAAAAAAACCCACTTAACTGTCCCGGAATCACAGAAATTCTCCCATTACTTCTATTTTCCTTCTCGAATCGCTACGTGCCAACAATAAGTTTCACTCTGCTCTTGAAGAAAGAACAAACTCCACTAACTCGGAATTCGAACTCTGAGCACGCACGGCAACTAGCGAGCACGTTCAACCCTCGACTCACGGGAGACAGAGGTGTTCGAAGTCTGGACGTCCAACTCCTGCGTTCGGAAAAAAATCCCCCTCTTCCGCTTAGCGTTAGCTTCGTTCAGCTCCTGCACTGCTTTGGAAAAAGGTACGCTCACACAGACATCAGAAGTTTAAAATTAAAAGAATACAGAAAAATACAGAATGACTACGTTATACAAAAGTGAGACATACTTCTCGGAACTGCAGAGCTCTAAGAACGTTTCAAGGAATCCTTCCAATATCTACAGAAAAGCGAGGAGGCAAGAGGGAGCTCGAGTAAAATTACAGCCTTAAAAAAGCGTCCGAACGTTCTCAACATCACAGAACGCCCGAAACGCCTAACCTGCGAAATCATCGCCACAGAACGGGCACAGGAGCAGCCATTCTCTTCCCCTTTTCCTTTAAGGAAGGGCACAGACACCCAGAAGAACAGCAACCGTAAGCAGAGCACCACCTCAGAAACATGCCGTGCCAAACATATCTATCTATCTACCCATCATCTCCCGGGCTTTCCGTAAAAGAAGAAAGAGTCCAAGCGTTCACAGACTTAACGTTTTTCTACACGAGGGTCAAGACACCTAAGACCAAAACTCTTGAAAAAATCCCGAGCTAACGACAAACACATACGCAAGCGGATCACGTGCTTGTTTAAGCTACATCCAGGCACGGAGACATTATAAAGGCCACACTCAACATCTGGCGGTTGAAGATTCCTCAGATACGCAACTGGGTAGAACACGTTACCTTACTGCTGTTTCTTTCATGCTCCGTTTTTTCATTGTACCAAGGCTCATCCCATTTTTCTTCAGCTTGCCAGGCGTATTTTAAAATAGTACTCAGAACGGCTTCAAAGAGGAGGATTATTAGATATATAATCAAGAAGGAATTCATAGACCTAGAGAGAGGCAAAAAAAAAAAAAAAAAGAAAAAAAAAAAGAAGCCGTTTCAGCTCATTTGACTTAACCTGCTGACACACTTAAAATATTAATCGAGCCAAAACTTATGAGACAATTTTTTTCCACGCAGCCTGCATTTCACACGGATTTAAAGTTTCTATATGATAAATATCAACAACACGAGTGAAAATAAATCCTACATCCTACACTCTACCTATAGAGATAGGAAGACTAGATTAGGGCGGACAGTTGACTCCCCAACAGTTGACTCGTGCCACATCTCGCTCAAGATTCTGGGGACTGGCTTATACTTCTTCTCGACATTCCCTTCTTCTCTGAGGATCGAGCGAGGCTGTGAGGGCATTACAGAAGACCAGCGCAGAAATCCAAGGCTGTACCTTTTTCCTCAGTTATAAGAGCACTTCTTTGCCCGTCCACTTACTTAATTCGGGCCGTCCTATACCCGGATGACCTTTCAGCCTTGTCAATATTCTGTAATGCCAGCCAGATCATCTTTTCACCCCTTGCTTTGACTTTCTTGTGCATCCTACAGATTTGTGTGTGCCTGCTTCTAGAAGAATAATCAGCTGCGCGATCGCGAAAGAAAAACATCTTGAGGCTAAGACAGATTTTTTTATAACTGGAATAAAGGCAACATATTAGAACTGTTTCTCCTTTTAACATAATTCATCGAGTTCAACATACAAATCCGTATCATAGTAACGGTACTCCACCACCCAACTACAGCAGACAGATTTTTAAAACAGAACGTGCAACTCTCCTAAGAGGCAAGACGCGTTACAAAACGTATCTGCATAGGCCATATACCCTCCGGTATCTACGACACAAAACCGTTTTCCATCAGTGGCAATGCTAAGAGTAAAGAAAAAGAAATTTCTCAGTGATTTAGACTTCGGTTGAGCCCATCCTCTTTAAAGGCCGGGTGCAGTCTCACGCTTATGATACAGCAAAGGACGCAGAAAACAGCAAAGGCTGGGACTGGCGTGAAAAGCATCAGCAGGCACCCGGGTCAAGGCGGCGCTCCACCTTCCATCGTACGATCCTCGCGCCTCAGAGAAAAACAAACCAAGCCCCCCAAAACCAAACACACTTTTCCTATTTCGGTCCTTTTTCAGCTTGGGTACTCATCTCTAAAGGCCACTGAAAGTAACGACAGAACCTTAAAAAAGAAACAAAAGTTACCACTGCGGCTTCCTACCGAAGACAAGGCAATCGCCCTCTCTTCCCCTGCCTGTAACCCCACAAGGAGACCGCACGGGCTCTACCGCTACCGGGGAAACACCGAGTTACGATTCTACAGATAAGAACGCTACAAAATAAACATACTTTTCTACTGCCGACCGTTTCTGAGATTTACTCTTGTAATTTAATGCCATCTTTGTCTCCATACCTGTATACACCGCAACACCTGGGAAGAAAGGGAGGGAAAAAGGAGTTATATTTTGCTTTGTGCATACATACAACTTGCAGAATTTTTAATTTTGTTTGCAAGACATAGGATAAAATCAAGAGGTGATACTGTCTACTTCAATACAATAGCGAAGCAGTATTTTCTAGGCGTTAGTAACATTCTGCAACAGCAAAGCCGGGCTATCGTAGCAATCGTGGCAGCTACTACGATGCCGTTCGTTATTACGACTGTACCGCTCTCCAAACGTACTTCTTATGGAAATCAGAACGGTAAATCTCAGGAGGTCTCGAACAACGGATAACTAACATCAATCAGGCATCCCTTAACGTTAAGTTACTCCTTTATCAAACCACTTCAAATATTTTCACATAGCGGGGCCGGAACCTCATATCCGCAGAGATTCTCGGGCATAATACCATACTTTCATCTACAGTCATATCCTCTCAGGTAACCAGCGGCAGGGTTATTAAGAGGTCTTCAACGCAAGTAGAATTAAACTACAGTTCATCATCACACTTCAGGAAGAGAACGCTCTTTAAGTACTTAGATGTCTACAAACCAAATATTTCTTTAGTGTTTTTTAGTCTTGCTCCACGGAGTAAGAGACTTTCAGGCCCGAGAGGTCTAAAAAGAAAGAGATACATGAGCATTTAAAACCAATTTGTTCCGTATTCCGTGACACTAACAAAGTCCCGTTTCCTACGCACTGAGGTCCTATCAGTTCCTACCCCAACTACTCCACCCCCCACCCTCTCTGGCCCCACTTGGATCTCTTCGGTCCCGTTCCCTCTTCTCCCCACCTCACCCCCCACCCCAAACTCCACAGAGCTCTCAGCGCCCTTTAACGTTTCCTTCGGGCACTGTAATAACTCCGCCACCACCGCTTTCAATATCCCGTAATTAGCGACTGAGCCTAACGTGCAGAACGGCTGGCTCAGAAAGAGCTACAAGCTATTCGCAACGCCAGCAGAAAAAGCCTGTCAAGCTCACGCCGCAACAGGAGCGCGCTTTCAGGTCTGGCTATTTTACTTCCACCCCCCTGTCTAACTGAAACCATCTAGCAGGTTCTAAGGTTACATCAGAGAAACACAGGCAACGATCTAGACAGACAGACGATACAGCAGCACAGGTTCCCGCTTTGTCATGAAAAAGTCTAAAATTTTACAAAACGTTTTTTCCCTCACACCTATCACACCACAGTAATACAATAAATCATCAGCTAAATTAACTGTAAACAGTGCTGTGTAAACAAAGCTACCGCTACGAGCAAGGTTCACATAACATTAGAGTCCTATGCTCTACTCCAGCGGCTGGATCGTCTTTGAAAAATGCCAGCACGGTTGGTTTGAAGCCACACAAAGGTGCCTTAAAAAACAAAAAGGACACCTTATGCATATTCCTGGGTTCGAGTGGCTTTGTAGTCCGCAAAAGCAGTTGGAGAAAACTCAAAATACAACACTGGAATCCGTGCACTGCAGACTACACGAGTTCATCTTCGGCAGTCAGAAGATACAGCTCCACCAGCAGCCAGAACCTGCGACTCTTTTTTCACGCTCACCTTAAAACGGCTCTGTTATATGCTGTCAACCAAATTATTTGGGAGATCATCCCAACGCTGAACCTGTCAGCTCGGCAGCAACGAAATCTGAAAAGCTCTAAGCTAAGCGGCAACTAAAGCGATCTCAGGAGACAACTGGGCGTCGGTTCCCCCCCCCCCCCCCCCCCCTTTTTTGTGCGCGGTTAGGGCACGGGCCTTGAGGCCAAGCGATCTGGCTTCTACCCTCACCGATTTCACGCAAAACCACAGGTAAATCATTTACTCGCTCCGAGCCTCATTTCACTCCCGTCTAAAACGGACAGAACGTCTACCAGCCTCATAGGAGGCTCACCGATTTAATTTAGGAGCGAAAAACCTTCTGTAGGCTATGCAGACTGAAGGCTTTATGTTCTAGGCATATATCGCATGAAAAATAATACTGTTTTAGTATTGTTTCAGGTTTTACTGAAAAAGATAGACTGTGTAAAAGATAACATTGTGGACATTAGAAGAGCGAAAGATTCCTAACGGATTACTCTTTCGCTGTGATACGCTCAGGCATCGTTAACACAGCCCTTCACATTTTAAAGACAGGTTTGAGTGTGATGCCATATAATTTTCACCAGGAAAAAAAAAAAAAAAAAAAAGAGTCGCACGCTAATCATTCCTGAAAATCTGGCCAGCTCTCGTTAATTTAAATTGACTGGCAATCTTGGGAGGAAGTTCATAGGTAGCTCTGTAAATGCCTTCGCATCTTGAACTTGTTTTTATAACTTCCCCTGCGTTCTAAGGGATTACTCTACTTGCTGCAGTCGCACAGGGAAAAGTTTGCGAGCGCACGACTGCGCGCACACCATTATGAATTGGCTAGCACGGGTGTAAGCATTTACCATTCCAGTCCAGGCAGTACGGTAGTTTGAGATATATGCTTAAAATTATAGATTTGTAGCAGAGGTTTTGTTACAGTGGATCAGGAACTTCTCCCAACTTCAACACAAAAACACCCGCTCAGCGCCTTGGATAAGCAGATCACAAGCGCTCTGTTGGGGTCTACATAACCTGCTCCTGGAAAACGTTTAAGTTCAATAAATGTTTTAAATAATAAACAGCAACAGCGTTCCCAACTCATCACCAGTACCTAAAACAACTATCCCGTCCGGAAACAGTCACACTTTCCAGAACTACACGTTCATTCGTAAAAACGGGTAGCAGATGAACTTCCACTAATTCTTCCTCAGTTCCAGCGTAGGTACACAGTCACAACTGATGCTTCTAACGAAAATTCCCCCCTCCCGCTTTTTTTTTTTTTAAAAAAATTCAGCAGTTAACTCTTTATGCGATGGTCAGGGTTTAACCACTTTCGTTAGCTCTAAACACTACATTAGCCTTGTAACATTTCACTTACCGTACAATTTCCTCATTTTGCTGACTTACAGTTATTCTGCCAACAAATCTATAAAAGAAGGTAACGCTTCAGAAATATGAAGTCTCCAATGCATATACATAAAAAAAACCCACACACGCAACACCCCAGCCTACTATACCTGCAAAAAAGTCATTAACAGTACACGAACATAAAATAACTACCTTCAATTTATCGTTTGCAATATTACTACAAACAACAGGACAACACTGGCAAATTTTACAAGAGATTTTCAAAAACTGAAATAGACATCCTTCAGAAAACCAGTCCTTTAAAAAGCCCACTAGCCTTCATGAATAAAACCACAAAAAAGGATACTGCTGATTTAGTTGAAAGAGATCAGGCCGTTTCTTGACGGGCCAGTAAGACCTAATTCCTCAAATATATACCAGTTATCGTATTATCCACTAGAAGTAGCAATTTTACATTTAAGAAAGCCAATTTACTCTGTTTTGGCAGTCCGTAACTATCATGTGTTTTGCATGATTACTCATAGCCCAACAGCGAATAAGCATACAGTTGTAAACTTCGGCAGCAGTTGGACCTTACTCACTTAACGCTCTCTACACCCTGAGCTAAGGATCAAATATTTGAGCGTCCGTTTAGGCCAATACACGTACGTTTTCTAAGACTCTAACGTTCCTCAAAGATCCCAAAGCTTACTTAAAAAGAACTGCCGGGATACAGGTCGGATTTTAAAAACCGTTACTCGATAGCTACCGTTTTCGTACAATTCACCGTTTATCATACGATTCAGAAGTAGCGCGATATTACAATTTCATTAATCACGGTACAAACAGCCGGGTGGGAATATAACTTTTGTTTTACGTAACGTCATTTCACAGGCTCTACTGGATCGCTTGCTGAGGTTAAAAGCCAAAGTTGAGCGTACTGCAACGCCGCGGGTAACTACCTGGGTTTCTGTTCTGGAGAACGGCGTTCAAATCTTTTCCAGACCATAAGCAAAAGTAGTCACCCTGACTAACGCACATCCGTGAAATTAACGTAAGCCTACAACCGTTTCCTACAGTTAATTCCAAAAAAGTGAAAGTGCTACGCAAGACCAAAATCTCCCGGAGAAGCCGATACACTTCTTTTTCTTTACCCTGCTCAAACTTGCTGGTCATTTAATTTTTACCGTAAAACCGAGAACAAGTTTACTAGCGAGGAAAGGAACGTACATTTGTGTCAACATCAAAATATGAAAAGTAACTATGCTATAATTTCTAATTTACTACCGAAGCACTCAAATTTAACTTGCCGTTAGCAACTTTGAGTAAATACGTACGTATAACTACTTACGCTCATTATTAAAACTGGATATTTAAGCAAGCCTCTGAAGCAATTTTAACCCCAGCAAGATGCGCGCCACTCCTAGCATTAAACAGGTCGTTTCGATTTTATTTCTAAACCTTTCCTAACAAAGCGATACCTGTATAGATCTGCTTCTGGCTGCTGACACTCTACAACAGCTACAAGTTTGTCCAGGTTGGCAACCGACTGCAACACTGCCGTTTCTGGGACCGCAACGTGCGTCTGTAAAACAGTGTCCGTTAACTTAACGATCTAGAAAAACGGGGAGGGAGCAGAGAGGGGAAGGAGGAGATCCAATAGGCTGAAATAAAAGTGCGAACAGAAATCAATAAAATTGTATTTCATAGCAGTAACCCGGACCTTAAGATTGGTCTCTCCATCCAGACTCGCAGTAGTAACATGACACGAACCGTCCGCTCGGTCAGATGACAGAAGCACCAGATCAACAGGGAAAGTCTCATCTTTGGCTACTCTGACAACGTCACCCACCTAAAGAAGGGAACACAAACGAGAAGCATACAGACGGAGCTTTACAAGTGAAGAATTCATTTCAGCATTGCCCTGAATCGTTATGAAACGGGTCACAGCGATTAGCGATTAAACAATGAAGAGCCCTAGCTTTTTTTGTCCCCCTTCAGAACTTCAGCTGTGCAGCAGAAACCGTTTTCAATTTGTCTTGAGGCACATACCCGAATGTTTTTAGATCTAGTTTTTACAAGACCGCCGCTTCTAACAACGTAAACTGGAGCACCATTTACTTCATTGTCTGCTTTATGTCGCAGCCAGTCTTCGTAACCCTGTAGAAAACACAAAAACTTACATTTCAGCAAGAAACACACAAAGCGTAACAAAGCATCATTAACCCTGTTGCTAACTTCTCTTCAGATTCTACTCCAGCTGTTACTCAGGAATCTGGGAAATCTCTTAGTTTTTACTCGTTCTATACGAACAAGTAACGGCAAGTAAAGGAGCAAAAGCGGTGAAGGAATTTGCAATCCCACATCCTGTTAAAAACAAACACAGACTGAAATTTTCCAGAGACAAGAGAAACACACGCTCATGCAATCTGAGACCCATATAGACTAATATACCCCAAAACAGGAAACAGCCATTTCCAGTCTCTCTCACAGATTTGGTTTTTTTTTTTTTTTTTTTTTAAGGAAGCAACAGATTCAAAGTACTTTCTCATGTCATACCATACTGTTTTCAGAGAGCTTATTATAGCTGCTGCCACTGTCTATGTGTAAACTCTTCAGATTTTTTAGTTTTGCATTATATGCTGTTCATATATCGGGGCTGTATAGCAAGCGAAGACGACAGAGAAAGTTTCAGTTCTTCCAGAGCCCGAACACAACATTTCTGAGTGAGGGAACTTTTAACAGTTTACTTAAGCAGTTCTTCTTCACCAGATATTCAACACCTCTTCACGAGCCCTTTATCCCAACCACACGCACGTGCAACCGTTTTTAAGTGCGAATGCAGGTGTATTTCTCCGTTGCGCATACAATCCACACATTGCTTATTTAATCTAACAGCATGATCACCAATAGTACGATCTATTATGCCCAAGCCCAGCTATCGCTTGGAAAATCCCATCACTGAGCAGCAGTTGTTATCAGTCTATACAGGCACTTCAGCTGTCACGTATCTTTCTGAAAATAAGAACAGCGCTTACATATAAGCGAGTATTTCCAAGCGTCTGTGTAGTCTGTCACTCGCTCGCTAATCCAGTCGAGATGCAGGAGCAAGAGCGCAACGCCCGCTATCCCACGTTCGACTCAAAACGACAAAAGCAGGCTCGCATCACGGGGAGAGCGTGCAAGCTCTCAGCCAGGCATCAAATTCAAAACGTGAACGCAACTAAGAGAAAAGTTGCCGCAAATTCTTTTTTATCATACAAAACCGATCACCAGCTTATCAAAAATGTCCTTTCCTCAAATACCTATCAGTCGTTAAAAAACAGAAGCCTCTACAGTCTCTTGCTATAACACGCTACACTAAGCAATTGACGAATGTCAAAAGACATTTTCTATCAGCTGATCCACAAACTTATTTTACCACACAGAACCAAACGATTCTTCAGCGCTACCATCAACAGCTGTTTAGTCATGCGCTAACCGCTGCACGATTACCCTCACGATTGCTTAGCGCTCCCAAGTTTGTGGCAAAACCACACACGTTGCGCTGATCATTCAACGGATGAACGTTCTTGCGCCACCTCTTACACCCTGGCAAGACTCCTACAACCGATTTGCAATAACAGACACGTTTTCTAAAGGGTTTTTCTGCATACGCAAAAACGTGAAAGAGAACGAAGATGACTTTCTCGGAAGTTTGCGGACAGAAGAGGGAGACCTTTTAAACAGCGGGCATAATCCCAGCTCAAGCTAGAACACGACAGGCATTGGGCGGGAACGTCATAATACGAACGGTACCGATACAGCACGCGTGCTGAGCCTTGACTAGGCTTTGGAAGAAAGTTACGTGGCAACCTAAAGAACCAGCAACATACGATGAACTTTTTTAACCTTAAAGCAGACCTCTGCGATTCTTCACTCGGATACTACCCTCCACGTACCAACGCTGTTACTAGCACAAGCAGCATTACCGGCAGGGGGTAAATGCTTAAAAATAAATAATCAGAAGATGTGTAGTGACAGCGGCCACACAGAAAGATACTGGGAACTCAGAATCTTAAAATCTCTAAGTAAGAGCCTATAAGAGCATTTTCTGATCCGTTTGAGAAAGCATTAAGAATCTGTACCTACAGCTCCTTGTTAAAGGTGACCGATAGAAGAAAAAAAAAGGATTTAACTAAAATCCAGTAACCTTGGGGCATCCGTCTCGAATCTGAACAGCCGAGCAATACGGGCTCTTGGCAAAGAACTGAAGTGTACCTTCTTCAGAAAGTACAGATTTCAGCGCTTTCTCCATCTGACACCTACTCCCGACATCATAAGGGTGACACCTCGCAACAGGGAATTCCTACAGCCCAGTTAACTCTGGTCGGCTTAAAACAAAAAAAATTTTACCCACTGCGTAAAATTTTCGAGAGAGAGTTCTTTACGCTCGCTTGCAAATGTCGCAAGAATACCGTTAAGAAAAAGATGCGATAGGAACACATACGTTGTTGCTTAATCTCATGAACAGAAAATACAGACAAACAGTCCCTAATTAATTTATATTCTCAAAGCCTGCTACAATAACAGCATCAAAATACATGAGACGAGGACTATATCAGCAGGATTTGCATGCCCAGTCTTTTTCTGAATTTCCTAAAAACTGCAAAGTGGTTGCTGCTAATTCACTCCACCACCACGTAAACATTCATGAGTCCAATCAACTCGCTTGCCAAACACCTATGAACCTACTGAAAAAAGGACTACATTCCCTAAATTTCCTTGGTAAATTAAAAGATACACATATCTTTGAGGCAATAAGAAAATTCTGGACTCCGCTAAGGACTGCACATCCATCTTCAGAGGCACGAGGAAGGAAGATCTGCGGCTAACAGGTTTGACAAAATGACACAACACGAGCTGTACCGTTTTGCAGTCTCGTACGTCCTTCTTCCGAGCTAGGCGGCACCGCGCATCTGAAAAGAAAAAGTTCCGCTCCTTGCCCGAGATTAACGTAAGGCTGGGTTCTGAGGTTTTCTAGGGGTATCACGCTACCTGGCCTGCAAACAGGAAAGAGTTTTTCCCACCTCCTGCTAAGCCTCTCAAACCCGGACAGGGTTGACAGGGTTAACGCTTTTATTTTTAACTCTTCTAAACTTCTGAGGGTCTAGTAAGGTACAGTTCAACATTCGCTCTGCTGCAACTTTGTACGGAACGAGCGCCTCGATGCTTTCAAACAGTTTTCTTCCCCAGAAGGCTTCTTCCCGTTCCACTTTTGGTTTGAGAGAATAGGGGAAATGGTTTTCAGATCATACTTGGCATTTAACTTCTGTCCTCCAACGGAAGATTTATCTTCCTTCCCTACCATTTAAAGGTCTGTCCAAGGGCAGTCTGCTGGAAAGAGCGCGCTGAACCGTCGAGCTTGCAACTACCGTTGCAGCGGGTCAGGATAAAAACGAGGATCCGTCGTCGCTTTAGGTGGTTACCGATAGTCCTTGCAGACAGACGGAGACAGTCAGAAAAACTCTTAACGGTCTACAAGTCAACCACGACTTGAATTTTCTAGCAGGACAGCCAGAATCTCTGTTCTTGGCAGTTGATGGTGAAATATTTAAATTCGCCGATATAAGACGGGACATCAGGAAACAAGAGGGTGACAGAGGGCTTTGGACTATTTTGGGTTTTACCTAAGTCCAACTTCTTTCCGAACAAAATTCTAGTATTTATAATCACTTGCACGATCTCTTCCAGTTCACACAGCTTTAAGGGTAACTGCCGTTCCCGACTTAAGACCGTAGCTCCGAAACACGCGCTTTCGGAGTGAGGATAAGAGGAGAGCACTCTGCCTATACAAATGGCACAGTGACAAGAGGAAACGGTAATTCAAAGACTCCTACAGCATTACGATCCCCTTTGCCCCAAACACTACTCTATCCGATGGAAAGCTAAAGCTATTTTTACTTCTGCCCCGATTCCGGGTGGGACTGGGTCCTACTGGCACAGGAGGCAACTCGAAATCCTAGCTGTAGCGTCAAAAACGTCTCCCGCTTACTTTTCAGTTGCCGCGACTGCATCTTCTCCCCAGCCAGAACTATCGACCCTTTTGAAGGAGCAGGTTCACGAACGCTACCGCGCTGCAGAAATTGCAGCCTCCGTTCATACCACCGCTTCATTTACCTGCTTGCTTCTTTCCCCTATCGCTCTAAGGGTTTAAGGAAACAGGAGGAGATCCTTTTCCCACTAGCCTTCCACTGCCTCTAGGTGGCCGCAGGGTCTAGTACAGCGCTTGAACAAGATTCCTGTTAAACTACTACTCAAAAGATTTTCTCATTACAAATGCTAAAAAACAGTCAAAAATCTTTTCTATAACCCCCCCGCTCCCCCCCCACCCCCCAACGCTTTCTGAACTGGATCTTTCACCTGGTAGAGCCTGACAGTTGATGTATATTTTACATCATGAAACACAGTCCTCGAGGCAAAATTTGCCTTTTACCTACTGGCAAACACGGCACCATCGCACCACATACCCCAAGTTCCTTTCCCAGTGCGTTACGTAGGAGGGCTGCTTTTAATACGTGGTGAGGTGTGCCAAAGGAACAAGCGAGGCGCTTTCAGAAAAGGTCTTATGCAAAGTGACACGTGCAGTTTAGACAAAAATGCTGTCTGACAGTCATTCACTGTCCATTTAAGGACGCTGCAGTGAGTCACTGGGCGCTTGACACCTAAGCAAAGTAACGCCCAGGGTCACGTGTCTAACGAGCAACGTTAAACACACAAATTCTTTCCAAAAAAGACATTGGTTCTTTTTCAGTGTCTAAACGTTACCTCGTTCAGAATTTTTAAAGGCACTTAACCTCAGAAAGACTTCGCGCAAAACAGTTTTTCCCTTTTACCTGTTTTATGGCTGTCACAGTTATGACAAAGAATAATGGCAATCCACTGGTAATAGGACTGGTAGGGGTATCTATCATGAGCTGGAAGAGAAGAAAAAGTGAAAATTAGTTCCCAATTTGATTTTACGATTGCACCTTCCAAAAAACCCAATGAAAAAAGACAAGTACTTTTCCAAACTCATCGTTATATACGGTGAGAATTTTTACTGCACGTTCTCTAGTATTTCCGGGCAACGTCCAACTAGCGACACCTACATAACAGATGTCAATAACGATGTAAACAAAGGTTCTATGACGCAGAAAACTCTACCGCATGTTTGTAACGCATGCGCCAACTTTACGAGCCTCACCGGAAGGAAGATTAATTCTCATCCCACAAAGATAAATTCCAAAGTGCACTGCAAAGGAAGGAAATCTACGTTTTGTGAAGCTGTTTCGATACTCTATGCAATATCTCGCTTTACAACGACATAGAGTAGAACAGCAATCACTTCAGAAGTGAAAATGAAGTCAAAAGCAGTAATTTCCTACAGTTCAGATATTCACGAGTCCCCTTACTAAGACCGCTCCTTTCTGGCTCCCGAAGTTAACATGCAGATTTTACAATTTGTGCTATCATTGCTGGCATGCCAAAAGTGCAGTGCATGCACTAAAACGCTGTATGTGGGGGGATGTCGGTGGTTCTCCGCTGCTGCAGAAAAAAACCCCAATACAGTAAAGTGCCGCAAAGAAAATAAACAAAAGAGCTGTTCAAAACCACAGACATTGGCTCGATCCACTTTACCTCAGACTTACGGCATTGCTTTGGGAACCATTGAAGAAAAGAAGAACATACGTGAGGCTTACTCTGTTAAAAGCCAACGATCTCATAGAGAAAATACATTACGTCACGTTACAGCACGTGCACGATCTGTTCTCTTCACTGAAACAAACCGTTTAGAAAACATGACAAAATCAGAACTAGCCTACAATTTTGCCTGTTCTTCAACGGTACCATCGTGATCTCACCTTGGAATCACGCTGTCCAAAATACCCTTTGAAAGAACTGTCCAACTTCTGACTGGACAGGCTTAACCCTGACGTTTTTGCCATCTGCGCTCTCTCCTTCCTTCTCAAGGAAGCATCGTATGTGAAGAATGGAATTTCACGCTGGCAGAACTGTCACGGCAGCCTGCTCCCTCTTGTCGCTTTCACCCGAACACCACGGCCCTTTGCCTACTACACAGCTGGACGCGCATCCGTCACGCCTCCCAGGCGGGGAGCATCAGGCGACCAAAACGCAGTCAGTCACCGTGTTTCTGGCATGCGCACGTGAAGTGGACAATACCATTGGATTGTGCTGCACATTTAATCACACAGTGAGAACTTGCCCTAGCCCTGTCATCACCAGTGGAATAAGGTGGTCATGACAGACTGCATCATCACAGAAGATACCATGGCGATAAGCTTCTAAAGGCACCTTTGCCTTATTTAAAAAAAAAAAAAAAAAAGAAGGATATTAATGGAATTTCAAATGGCGTTTGCATAAAGGTCTGTTCTGATGCTGAAGAACGAAGCTGACTGCAACCTTCTTCCTGTTAGGTTTCCAAGAATAATATCGTTCGAGACATCCCCTGCAAATTGCTACCAAAGGGGTTACGTCTTTTCGTTGTTGTTGTTGCTGTTTTTACTTTTATAAAAGAAATGAGGGTATCCACTCGGGCCACGAACCGAGAGAAGAACAGGATTACGTGCCGAATGAAAGTTCTGCCTTTACTTTAGAGCTGTATTTGTTCATTGACACAATACTGAGATATTACTCTGGTCAAAATAACTGAAAAGAAAGTGACTCAAAACTGAGCTACGTTGGAAATTTTGTGTTAGGAACAAATACAAGCTTTAAAAACAATGCAATGCTGTCTACGGTTAGGTTACAAAAGCCACAGTAATATCTATGACCTATATCGCACCGACAGCGACACTAACCGATGCCTTCAAACCTGACAAACCGTCAATCCCAATTGTAAATTTTTAGGTGTTCATTTTAGGTGAAAAAATTGAACGTGAGGATTTTAGAACCGCCTGACAGCTGCCGATTTACAAAAGCAAGGTTCCACGGACAATAAGAATACTGCACACCCAGAACGACGATCCATTCTCAGCTCAAGAGCGAGCGCATCGCCCGACTCGATGCAATAACTGCCCTTCTGCAGAGCAATGCCCCAGAGGCCCGCTTAAATATTTTCACTTTCATACAGATAAAGTCTAAGGAAGAGTATACTTCGAATTTGGATGTATTCTCTTTAAAACTGCTCTTTTACTTTCACAGAGAAGCTGGAAATGCAGTGTTTTTACAGACAGAAAATTTTAATAGAGACGATAAGCAATTCCTAAAACAGAAAATCAGTGGCAAGATTCAGAATATAAACCCCAATTACCAGCTTATCTTCTAAAACTATGCTAAGTATGAGTATTACCCAACTTACCTGAACCAAAAATATAATCAAAAAATAAAAGTTGGCTACTCTTCTGAATTGTTCAAATAAGTTTTTGGGAACAAAATTCCACACTGTATACTGAAGAAGAAAAAAAAAAAAGAGAATAATAGTTATTACATACCACACAACTTTTCAGTAAAATTCAGCTTTCTTCCAAACTCTCTTAACCTGCATCTTTTCACTTTTAATCTCTTCTCCCCTCCCCTAAAACCTCCTTCTCCTCTGGCCCCACTCCCCCCCAGAACCGCTGCATCCGATCTCGCCCCTTCTTTTGTGAGGGTCACCTAGAAGGGAAGCAGAGGTAGCAACGGCATTGCCTTTACAGTCAAAGTTTTAAACGTTCTCCTACCAACGGGGATAGGAGCAGCTGGAGTCCTTTGGCTGCTTACAGCCAGCAGAATACGGAAGCAATAAATTCCTGCAGCTGCAGCTGCAGCTTTCTCTCCGACACTCCAGTGACAAGACACAGCCCCACCGTCAGTTCTATTGATTCCAGCCCAAGGCCACACCAGGAGGGAAACTGCAACTGCAGTTCACTGCTATGATTTATTTTATGCAGAATACCGAGACAGATTTTGGCTATTTCATGAAACCTCACAACCTTCAGGCCTCCTCTTAAACGGTGTTGCGCATCACAACCAGGCACGGACAAAGATGTTGGTTTAAAGCCTATTTTTCTTCAGCAATTCTGACCAACATGCTCACTCTGTAATTAATCTGGTTCTGAGGAAGGAACGATGGGAGGAGAGCAAGAGAGAAACAATACAGAAAGGAGATACGCTAGCTGTTTCGGGGGGGGGGAACAGAAGTTGTCCGACTTTGAATATCATACACCTACCATTAGACATTATATAAACATGCATTTTCACTATACAATTTCTTAAGCAACGTATCAAGTACTTCTCACATGGTAAATTGATTCCTTACTTTGGACGATATGATTCTGTTGTCTGCAAATTTCTGAGGAACATAATGGCCATGCTGGGGAAAACGATTCGCTATATAAATAGTTCGTGTATCACTTTGATGCGGTGGGTCAAAACCCTAAAACACAGAATAAAAAACAGATGATCAAGAAAGAGCACTTTATTAACGCCAGTTTTGCAGAACGCGGCTATCTCCGTGCTGAAGATATCCAGATACAAAGCAGTAGCTTTGGACTAGTGGCTTTCGAGCGGGAAACAGTATTAACCTGTAAATTAAACTCTGCTGCGTCCAGAGAATTTTCAAAAATTGAATTAAGAAATAAAATTGATTTAGGGTTGTGCCTTCATTCTGGAAAATAAGATAAAATATTCTCAAGTCTTACAAAGGATAGAGAACGTCACGCAAACTTAAAGTGTTGGGAAACTTAAGAAAGGAGAAAAGAAGCAGAAACAGATATGACAACGCATTGGAATTACAACAATTCACGGCTGCGCTCACGGTAACCCTAATAAAACGGACTACAAGCAAAGCGAAAGGTCAAAACAAACAAGTCACGCTAGTATACTGCGACGGCTGGATTTTGAAAACGTTTGCATCAGCTTAAAACAAAAACATCCCAAAACACTCTCACACGTATCTGACTAGACAACCGAGTTTTTCCAAACGACTTCCATCCCTAAGAACAAACGCTTTGTTCATTCTCAAATTTGACTCTAAATCCCTGCCGCTGCGCAACGCTACTTCATACTTATAAACGGAAAGCAAACTCAGCAAAAACACACAAATTCCACGATAACGTCTATTAAGTCCAGTGGATTCTTTTTGCCTCAACCGCTCAACTGCAGTCCAGGGAGTCACTGGAAAGACGGTACCTAGGGAACCAGAACGGAAAACACGTCCGCGTGAGCAGCTTATAATGAATCCAACAAAGTTTGCCAGATGAACTTAAGCTGAAAGCTGCAGAGTATGCCCTACACAACATGGAATTTCATGCTACACGAGGAAAACGCAGCATAAATAAAAGCCATCAGCAAGCGGCAAAAGACGACATTTAACTAAGCTTCCACGTGGGAAGCTGTGCTTGCTCAGAAGGTTCTTTTCAGTGGCCTCAAATCACGTCCGATAATCCATTTTCCCCTGCGACAAACAACAAGTCTTGCATACAGGGCAGAAGCAGTAAATGGCATATCTGGATTTCTATAAGACTTCGGATGCTGTCTTACAATTGTCTGATGGAACAGCCGGGAGATACGTTTACATAAACTCCTACAAGACCGGTTAACAAAGTACGCTCAGGAACACCCATCCACAGTTTTTTTGACCAAAACACAAGATCTGAAAGGGGTCTCATAAAAGCGAGGCCGTTTCAGGTCTAACGTCCAGTATTTTCATCAACTACCTCAGCGAGGGAAAGGAGAATACACTTACTGAATTTGCAGACGACACCACACCGGCACTGCGAGAACATCAAACGACAAGAACAGATTTCAAAATGATCTCGACCGACCAGACACGCGGAGGACTGAAAGATATTATGGTTAGACAGGATTAACTACATCTGCAAAACCAGAACAAACGGCCCACGTAGGAATCGCGTTGAAAAGGACGAAAGGGCTACCGTGGACCACAAGTTGAACGCGAGTCAGGAACGCCACACCATTGGGAAGGCGGCCTCCTCCGGTACCAACAAAGCTGGAGGTGGAGCGGCAGCCACGAGTCAAGCACTGTGAACCAACTGGTCAGCATCCAGAGGAGTTGAACGTGAGCGACGAGATGCCGAAAACATGACGCACGACACAAGGCTAACCAATTTAAAAAGGAAAGAGCGAGCAGAGTAGGGTCATTTAGCCTAAAGGAGAGGAAGATCGGGAGACGCTAACAAATCTTCCAATATACAAAAACCGCTCCGCTAAGCAAAGGAGTTATTCGAAGGGCAAGCAACAACAGAGACAGGCTTCGGCTGCCACTAGGGAGACTCAGCTAGGCTACCGGAGAAACAAACAAGAACTCCTTTCTGACGGAAAGGAAGAATGAAAAGCCAAAATAAGCCACATGGGGAGACTGTGATGCCTCTGTAACAGAAGGGCTTACATCTAGGTCACTCCAGTCTATCTTTATTTGGGCCTTTCCTGGGGCTACGTGACTCACTGACAGCCCTTTCCAACTCTAACATTCTGGCCTGGAGAGGCAGGTGACAACAAAAGACAGGCAAGCAAGACAGTAAAAGAATAATAATTCAGATAATAAGCTGAAACAAAGACGAAAAAGAAACACCTTTAAGAGGTGGAACAAAGCGATAAATTTCAGCACGAGAATCACAGGCGCTTTTAAACGCGACAAATATGATTCGCGCTACGTATACAAAGTCTCCTTGCTGTTTGACGCCAAGTGAAAGGACAACCGAGGGAACAGGCAGAAAAGGCATTAACAATTCCACTACCGGAAGCGAGGCAACTAACTTTGCAGTTGCATTGCTCTGCTTGTGCAACCACGCTCAAACTTAGCCTCACTGTCAAATACAAACTGACACTTCACAGAACTCCAACAGATACTACTGCATCAGCTAACTAGGAAGGGCGATGAAAGTGAACCACATAAAAAACGGTCGGTGTAAGCAGCCAAGATTTATTTTTTAATCCATACAGTTGTCTAACATACGGCGTTAGGTACGTTCACATTTAGCATGGCATCATTTTAATGGAAAGGAATAACTAAAATACCCTATCACACAAGCTACTTTTTTTGGCATCACCAATACAGAAACACCGCGCTTCAGAAAGAAAGACGGTCCAGAAGAAAGAAGGGAGGAAAGAGAGGGGCGGAGATTTTTCAAAGAGATTTGAAGGAGAACCAACTTTGAAATGACAAACAGTGGAAGGCCGCTCTAATCACACACTCTAGCGCGAAAGCCTGCTTAGAGTGGAGCAAGGAGACAAAGGGGTAGGTAGGAGAAAAGACCGGAACAATATACAGGAAGCCAAGAATAAAGGAAGGAGTTGTTCAGAAAAAAAAAAAAAAAAAAAAAAAAAAGGAGTACAAGCAAGAAGTTAAAGGGAAAAAAGATATACCTCTTGAGCGCTCACAATCTAAAAGGGAACAGTATTTCTAGCAAAACTATTTTGGATATCTGACACTAGTGGCAAATTATTTTTAAATCAATACCAAATATACCACAACAAAAATGTGTTGCGGGTAAGAAAACTGTACTTAATTAATAAGACTAGGCAAACAGCTCTATCCTATCTCAGAAAACGTCTGGCACTCACAAAACGCCAGACACTTCCAATTCAGAAAGCCACATTCTCCAGGCTGAAAAAATTCTATTCTAAAATAGACAGACAAAAAGCAGAGGTAAAACAGAAAAAACAAAGAAAACAGCTTCCAGTATTCTGATGACAATAAACGCTAATCACTGGGCTACTCATAGAGAGTTATTAACAGAAAAAACGACAATTTTCAAAGTGACTAGGACACTTAGATATCCAGTATCACTGTAAATCTTTTCCACGGCATTTATACGCCCATTTTAGGCCACTGTCAGGTCACCCGAAAGTTCAAGAGTTTTACGACACGCTCGTTATAAAGAGTGAGAACCACGCTACAACGAAAGCCTAACTGCATGAGCATCTCTATCAGAGAATACTTCTGCTGAAGCAGGCTAAACTGATTAAAAGCAAGGAACGTATCTGCCGAATCAGAACCTCAGGCCACAGAGTTCATACCTTCAGATGTGTGGCTAAGCAAGCTTAAAGCAGCAGTCCACGCAAATTTACCTCTGTTTTGTTGAGACGGACGAAGGAGACAGCGCAAAAACCGCTCAACCAGCAGACCTATGGAGATGGTGACGTGCGAGCAAGGTAGGCTGGGCACAAGAACCTCTTCAGCCACCAGAACTACGGCTCGAAAAGGACACATCCTTGACAACCTCAGTGACTTGACTGTAGTCACGGCAGCAAGTAAGCGGCAGAGCTGGGAGCAGAACCCAGATCTCCCACGTCTTATTTCTGCGGCTGTGACAGATCGTTCCAAATTATCCAACAACTCTGTCATTATATAATTCTCTGGTGGGACCGCAATCAAGCCGATCTTCCAGAGAAGTACAAATCACACATCTCTTCAAGAAAAAAATCTACAGAGAAGTTGAATTTAAAGGAATTTCACTGCCTGAACAACTCACTCAATTTTTCCTGTAACTGTGCGGCTAGTCACAGATCCTGCTCCTGCAACAGAGCTGCACCGTAGCCTGAATTTGTCCCCCAAAAGCATTTTGCAGAGTATCTATACGCAAGCTATCAAAGAGATGCAGGAAACAAACTCTTTCCTGATGTCTCTTTTAGGAAGCTGCTTTTTTCCTAATATCATTATCAAACGCAACTGCAAAACCAGGGTAACATGCCCTTCGCCAAAAACTCCAGCAGCTAAATAGCATGAAAAGAGAATTCATAAACTAAATTTTCAAACTTACTAAAAAGATTCATAGCTGCCACTGATATCTTTCCGTAACAGTCAGTTTTCCTACAGTGATTCCAGTGAACTGTTATCTACCCATGTGCACAGATCACCGACTCCATAACAAAACCACTGTTTTCCAGGGTTTTTTTTTTTTTTTCCCAAACCAATTAATTGAATCAGTTCCCCAAACCAATTAATTGAAGGGTCATACCAGTAGCTTGGCGTTATAACTAAGGGAGCAGTGCAGAAGAAGAGATTTTGCATGGCTGCTGAGGAATCATTACTAGTAGGAACAAAAAAATTAGGCAACTGGAGAAAACACGCAGCGTAACTAGCAGAGAAGAACCACTACTGGAAAGAGTTGTGTAAAGGAAGAGACTGCCCTCCTGGCGCCTGCAAGCGCAAGCATACGAAAAAAAGAACATTCTTTCAGCCGATTTGTTGGTATGATATACAGTATCTACTGCTAGACTTTTATACTCTTATTTCTTAAATACTAGCATTAAAAAAGCTTAACTCCTGGGAGCACGTATTAATGTTCTTCTTCAAACGCTCCAGAGCACCGTTAAGCGAGACGGCACAAATCTGCGGATCTTTCATTCAAGACTGATGACGTGAGACCAGCGCACAAAGTACCAAATGCTGCGTTTCAAGCTTTGGAATCAATACAGCAATAATT